CCTCAAAATGTTCCATGAGTTAGTTAAGACTTTTATTTTATTTATTTGTACATTTGGGATGCTAATGAATAAAATTCTTAAAGTTACTTTTCTATAAAACATGTCATATATATTTATTTGAAGTTTCAAGAAGTTCTTTCAAATTATAATATATAATTGTTATTTATCTGCTTATTAGAATTATTTACTCAAATATTTCCAAATGATTATATTCTACCAAATGTGTTATAAATAAGTAAGAAAAACTTTTACTTCAGAACACATACAGAAGGCCAGATGTGGTGGCTCACACCTATATTCCTAACACTCTGGGAGGCTGAGGCCAGTGGATTACCTAAGCTCAGGTGTTCCAGATCATTCTGAGCAAGAGTGAGAGCCCCTCTCTACTAAAAGTAGCCAAGTGTGTGCCTGTAGTCCCAGCTGCTCCTAGGAGGCTGAGGCAAGAAGATTGCTTGAGCCCAAGAGTTTGAGGTTGCTGCAAGCTATGAACGCCACAGCGCTCTACCCAGGGAGACAAAGTGAGACTCTGCCTGAAAACAAACAAACCAACCTCATATACATACGAACATTCAGAATAGTGTGGGCAGGATCAATGCCTTATAGGTTGCTGTTCAAAATTCTCCATTTCCTTTCTCTAATCATCATTCCTATCACAAAATAACATAATTTAGCACTATCCCATCTACCCTTTCTGGTGCTATACCAAGATAGCTATTAAATGCTGGAGGACATGATGCAATATATTTGTTTCTATCAGAATGTTTTGAATTCTAACTTTATAAAAAACTTCATTAATGCTATGATATTCATTTTCCACTAATTCCCGTCAACTTTAATTTTCTTGCATCCCATTTTATACAACCTGAGGAATGTCAGAATGAAGTCTGTACTGAGAAGAAACATTAAACATTCTTGTAAATACTTTGCTTTGAATGTATTCTTTTCCCTGTAGGCATAACCCATTACACCATTTTTCTTAATTCCATTATCACTCTACGATATTCCTTTCATGACAAGCATATCAATTCATCTTTTTCTTGGTCAACTTTTGTAGCTGGTGACATGTTAAGGAATAAATTTTGATATATTGAAGCTTTAGCATGGAGTACATATATGCACATAGTTAGCACATAGTTGGTGCAAAATAGTGCTTATGGAAACAATAAAGGAATGAAAAATCATAAAGAAATAATTAGATTTTACAATGAATTTATAATTTTTTGAAGAGTATTTTTATTCTATATTCTCCTTTCCAGAACATCATGTTAATTCTAGGATTTTATTTCTCAACCATGATTTTTAAAAAATCAGTCTGTCATTGAAATGTTTAACAGTTTCAATAACAATATTTTATGTGTACAAATCAGGGGAATTACATATTAGGTATGTCTTCATGAAAACAAAGAAAAAAATGTGTGAATACATACCTTTGGATGAGACTTTTTGCCACCTACAATTTTTTTTCTCCCCGAATATCCAACCAGAAAAATTTAGATGGAACTTTGTAGTGATTCCAATTCCTAGTTAAGAGTGAAAAAGAGAAAAATAATGAGATGTAAATAAACAGATATGCAGGTGCATTTACTTTAACGTATTTATTTATTTACTTTTATACTACAAAGGAACAGGTCTTGAACAGGGGCACAGTTTTCTCCCTGGAGCTTAGCACCCAAGAGGCCATATGACATTCCAAATTAATCTAATGAGTTTTCTCTTGTTCATGAATTGACTTCTCCCTTATTCTGAAAAGAATGCAAACACAAGGTGAAATATTTAAAGCAAAAAAGAAAGCATAAATTCCATGACTGTTTTAAAATAAGTTCTCCCTTTCTTCTATAGGGCAATATTGTTTAGGAGTAATGAATATCAGCAAAAATGGAAAACTAAAACCAAAAGCAAATCTATCTGCTCCATCTTCATAAAATTTCCAGTCTTCATGTGTCCTCTAATGCTAAAGGGAAATTTAGTTATACAAACAACAAACTTTGGAGTAAGACACATTTAGGTTTAAATCTTCATTTGTAAATTAATGAATTGTTGCTTGACCTTGTACATGGCATTTTATTGTTGTATGCTTTAGTGTTCTCACCTATGAAAAGACAAATACTACCTATATTATTTAGTTGCTATAAGAACTATAATACTTATATAAAAATTAAGAATTATGTAGAGGTTATCCTGAAGCTTCTAGTCAACTAATGAACTATTGGCTAGTATAAGTAAATATATGAAAACATAAATGTAAATTAAAAGAGAGTGCTTCTGGAAATGAGCATTTTTAATGCACATTAGCTAAAGATTCTGTGTGCATGTGCACATGAAGGTAAAGGTACAGTAATATAGTTTGAAATTATAATTCTGAGCTTCTCCTCAGGACTATGTAGCTTACTCTGATGGCTATTCCTCAACTAATAAATATTAATGTAAAACACATCAAACATAGGTTCCTTTATCTGAAACCAAAAATGCATTTATTCCTCTACACTGAAGCAAACATTTTATTAAATACATAGTTTTTAATTTAGTGTATGTGGGTAAATATAAGAACAATCTAGGATGGCAAACATTTAAATCATTTTAATACACACATATATATGTAAGGAATATATCATATACTGTATATGCATAATTTGTGTATGTTTATATAAATATACTCATATGGATATATACACACATCCATACATATATTTTCCTAACATATGAAAAGGAATATATTTCTCGATAGGTAAATATTCCTCTTCATAAATTAGAAAAATGTATGTATGAATGAAGAGTGTAATCTCCACTCTTCTTCCTTTCAAGTGATAGTGTAGGAGTGATTTTAGTGATAATTTATATCTCAGAGTTCATATAATGTGGCTAATTTAACAGCTTTTGGGAAATCCTTTTTTTTTTTTTTTTTTTTTTGAGACAGAGCCTCAAGCTGTCCCCCTGGGTAGAGTGCCGTGGCATTACAGCTCACAGTAACCTCCAACTCCTGGGCTCAAGCGAGTCTCCTGCCTCCGCCTCCCAAGTAGCTGGGACCACAGGTGCCCGCCACAACGCCTGGCCATTTTTTGGTTGCAGCCGTCATTGTTGTTTGGCGGGTCCGAGCTGGATTCGAACCGCCACCTTAGGTGTACATGGCTGGCACCTTAGCCGGTTGAGCTACAGGCACTGAGCCAGCTTTTGGAAAATCTTTATAGAACATAAGTATTAATTCTTTCAGAGATCCATGAACACTGAAAACACTTTAGAATTAGAAACTAAAAAATATCAAGGCAAAGATCAACTCCATGTGTAGTGTGCTACAAAGTGGCCTTTCATGCAATATCCCATTCACTACCCAAAAGAGCTTTGAGAAATGAAATTCCTCTTTTAGAGAGAAAGGAAATGGCACTTAGAGAATTTAAGTATATCAGAATGAGAGAACTAAATATGGTCTATGTTTACTGCAACACAATTCAAAATTGCAAAGACGTGGAAACAATCCAAGTGCACATCAATACATGAATGGATTAATAAAATGTGATATGTGCATACCATGGAGTACTACTCAGCCTGAAAAGTAGTGACTATCTAATATCTTTTGTGACAACCTGGAGAGAACTGGAAAGCATTCTTCTAAGTGAAACATCACAAGAAGGGAGAAAACAAACACATACACTCAATACCAAATTGGAACTAATCAGTCAACACTTAAGTGCGCACATATGAAAGTAAGACTTAATGAAAATCAAGCTTGGGGGAGAACGAAAGAGGGGATGGGTAATTTCATACCTATTGGGTACAGTGCACATTGTCTAAGTGAAAAGGCACAACTATAACTTTAATTCAGTTGGCATAACAACTAAGAATGTAAACAAAACATGTTTAACTTGTGTTTCTAATATTTTGAAATTTTAAAAAATAGAAGCAAAACAAATCTATAAACTTGGAAAAAGAAACTATGGTCTATGTTTACATGTTTGCCTATTTGTACATGCTGAAACTTATTTTTAAAAAAGCCCATTTGATACTTACTTAGAGACAAAATATCTTCATGTTTCTGCCAAACAAAATTGCATGTACTTTAACTCATACCTACATAGAAAGCGGAGTAAATGATAAGTTCTATGTTAATAATTTGGAATTGTTAATTGAAATCTAAGCCAAACTCCACTTTGGACTAATTTTATCCAACAGATGTGTATGTGTGTGTGTATGTCTGTGTATGATGTCATGAAAGAGCAAGGTTGAAGCAGACAATGTACAGTAGTGGATCTTGTGATAGGGAGTATGAATTATAAACTGTTTCATGGTGGGAACATGCCTGAGGAACCCCAAATGAGTTTGTGGAGACTTCCAGCCATGACCTATCCCCAGACATTGCAACAAGGATATCGAAATAGCACACATTTACTATATGAAATTCATATAGTAAATTTCACTATATTTCAGCTATAATAATAACTGAATTCAGTAAAGTTGCAGGATACAAAGTCAACATGCAAAACTCAAGAGCATGTTGATACACAAATAATAACTTCACCGAAAATGAAATCAAGAAAATTATAGCATTTATGATAGCTTCAAAAAATAATATACAATAAATTTAACCAAGTGTGGGAAAGGTCTATATACTGAAAACTATAAAACACTGATGAAAGAAATTGAATAAGAAACAAATAAATGGAAAGTTATCCCATGCTCATGGATGAGAAATACGGAGGGAAGAGGAGGGAGAGAGGAAAGGAGGAGGGTGATTTGATAGAGGGAGGGTTAGTAGGGAGACTACACTGATGGAGCATATTGCAAGTACAAGTTGGATCTATCGGGGTAGAACACAAATGTCTTAATCCTATAATTGGGTAAATGAGATGAAGGCTATGTTGATTAGTAGGATGTAAGCACTCCCATTCGTACAAATAATCAACACATTGAATCCCATAGTGGCATAAATGTATTTATGACCTATGTACAAATAACTTAACAAAAAATAATAAAATTACTTATGGATTACAGAAAAAAGAAGAAATATTAATATTGTTAAAATGTTGTCCAACTTCTGGACAAAGACTTAGAGAACGGTGCAAAAAAAAATCCTCTTTTGCAACCCAGAACTCATTGCTAAGTATGAGTTTTGGTACATAAAAAAAGAAATATTATGAAAGAAAAAAAAGAAAAGAACAGAAAAGAAAGGAAAAGGAAAGAAAAACAAAAAAAAATAATTGTTAAAATGTTTGGAATACCCAAAGCAATATACAGATTAAATGAAATCCCTATCAAAATCCTAGTGTCATTTTTCACAAGAGAGACAAAACAGCCCTAAAATCCATATAGAACCACAGAGGACCTCAGATGTCCAAACCAGTTCTGAAAAATAAAAATATAATTGATGGCATACGACTCCTGATTGAAAATTACAAAACAATAGTATCAAAACAGTGTAGTGCTGACATAAAAACGGACACTTACATCAATAGAACAGAATAAAGAGCCCCAAACACATGGTTAACTACGTTTTGATAGATTTTAAGAACACATAATGAAGAAAAGATGATCTTTCAATAAATGGTCTGGGCAACTAAATTTCCCCATGCTAAAGAATAAAATCGGACCTTTATCTTATACCATGTACAAAACCTAAAATGATTAAAATATTTAAATGTAAGACCTAAAACTATAAAACACCTAGAAGAGAATGTAGAGGAAAATCTGGACTTTGCAATGACATTTTTTGATATCACAATGACAGCTCAGGCAACAAAAGCAAGTAAATGATATTACATTAAACTAAAAAGTTTTTGTGCAACAAAGGAAAGAATAAACAAAATGAACTATCAGTCATTGAAAAATATTTGTAAACCATACATCAGATAAGGGGTTAATATCCAAAATTTATAAAGAACTTACACAACTCAATAGTAGGATATAAATAACTCAATTTTAAAATAGGTAAAGAACCTGAAAAGACATTTCTTCAAGGAAGATGTAAAAAGGACTAACAGGTATATGAAATGGTGCTTAACATCATTCATTAATCATCAGAAAAATGCAAATCAAAACCATTATGAGTTACATCTCACACTTGTTACGAAGGTATTATCAAAAGTCAAAATATAGTATTAGTGAGGATTTGTACTAAAGAGAACTCAAGTACACTCTTGTAGGAATGTAAATTGGTGCAACGATTATAGAAAACAGTATGGCAGTTTCAAAGGAAACCAAAAAAATAACTATCACATGACCCAGCAATCTCTCTTCTGGTCATATACCAAAAAGAAATAAAATCACCACCTCATAAAGTAATGACTGCACTCCCATATTCACTGAAGCTTTACTGACAATAGCCATGATATGGGAGTAACCTAAGTGTTTGTTGGTAGACACATGCATAAGGAAAGTGCAGTGTATGCATCTATGCACATATGTTTATATTTATGTACACATATGTATTATATATATATATATATCCCCAGCAGAATGTTATTCCACCTTAAAAAAAGGAGATCCTGCCATTTGCCACACATGGATGAACTTGGAGGACATTACACTAAGTGAAATAAGGCAGGTACAGAAAGAAAAATATTGCAGGATGTCACTCTTTTGTGGAATTTAAACTTTTTAAAAGACAAATATATAGAGATAGGGAATATAACAATTGTTACCAGGGGTATGAGTAGGGGGAGGAAATGGGAGATGTAGGTCAGAGAATATGAAACATCATATGTGTAAGATGAATAAGCTATGTAGGATTTTATGTAGTCTAGGGATTTAATATAAAATATGAAGATTAAAGGTAACAAAATTGTGTTATAGTTCAGATTCCTGCAAAATGAGTAGATTCTTGCTGCTCTTGGTACAAAAATAGCAAAAAATAATAATAATAATAATTGTAACTCTGCAAGATGAGGAATATATTAATTTTTTTCTACTATGGTAATCATTTATTATCTATAAACATCCTATAATATCATGTTGTATGCCTTAACACAATAAATTTATTTAAAAATAAAGTAAAAGTTATGCTCTCAGAAATGAAAACCAATACAAGGGCAATATTCTACTGCTAAAATATAAAACATTGTATTATAATATTTCATATTGAATATATGTTGAATATCATATGAATAACAGTTCATATTAAAAATTCAACGACAAAGTTGAGGGTAGAGCTTGAGGTTTATGAAACGTGGAATTGTATAAAGTAGTGAGATACAAAAGTGGTACTTTATGAGGATACACCTGGACATGGCATACAGCAACACCACTGTACAGGCCATTGCCCTGGCTTCAATGAAGGAATCAAGGTGTTGGCAGCGGAAAATCAAGGGAAGGCATGATAGTGAGCAAAAAATGAAAGGGGATTTGTTGAACAAAATGTGTTTTTGAAAAAAGTAGATATAAGTGATGTACTGTTAGTGGGAGCAATACTTATATGAAATTTGATTTTCATATACAATGCTAAACAATGAAGATTTAGTTCTTTATCAAAGAAAATTCAAATTTTAAAAACTATATTACAGAATTCAAATTAAGAAAATTATTTTCACATTGAAGATTAAATTTTTTTTCCTATTATTAAGTGCAAGGCCTACTTTTACAGTAATATTTTACATTATCATATAAAAGACATATCGCTAATAGCTTCTAGCAATAAGCTCTAATGCACATTCTAATATTGTAAATCCAAACTTAATAACATTTTATAGATATAGAAAATATGAAATATAAAAATAAACCTGTTACTTAAAGCCATAGTGATTATAAAGTATCAACTAGGCCATTATAATGGATACAGGACCATAGGGCTGTTGTGAGGATTAAATGAGTCGGTCCAGAGAAAGTGCTTAAAACATTCTCTGGTTCAAAGTCAGACATAAGTAAATTTTAGCCATTCATATGTATGTTTTTAGAGATAGGGTCTTGCTACATTGCTCAAGCTGGTCTCAGACTCCTAGGTTCAAGTGATTCTTCTGCCTTGGCCTCCCAATGTGCTAGGATTGCAGTTATGTACCAACACACCTGGCCCTTATTTTTTATTAACATTTAAATCATCAATATTTTTCTTTTTCATTACTGTTATAGGAATTCTGTGAAGGCAGTGATAGGGAACTTATAGGTGATTAGAAAAAGAGCTGAGAAAGTTGTATTCAAGGTACTCATTTATATAGTTTTTCCTTTCTTCTGAGGTCTCTCTGCCATGGTCATTTTTTGCTATTTTCTTTTTGGTTCATTATCTGTTGTTCAATGCCATTTTAAGAAAAATTAAACATACACTTTTTTAGCATGAGTCCCACTTTTCATATTAATATTATGCAGGCCCATTTTTAAATGCAAGCATAGACTATTTAATTTGTGGGCAGACTCAACAAAATTACAAAATTTACATTTCTTAGCTTGTAAATGCTATTTTGTTTTTACCAGAACAGTGGAAACTGTAAAAAAAACTGTCTCAATTTGTTTTTATTTGACTTCTTGATATTCTCACATTCTACCAAAGTTCTGTATCTTCAGGTTACTGGTAAGTAAGGCTTGAAAGAAAAAGGAATTATTTTTCTTCTTTGCCCCATTTTCCTTCGACATCATCATTTAGAGCAAAAGTGCTAATACAGAGAAGTAAAGTAACATGAGTAAGAAAGGGGTGCTAGGGTTCCTTGGTTGTTCTTGTTCATTAGAATGTTTCAGTTCAGTGCTCAAAGCAAGTTGTCCTTTAAATGGAAAGTGTAGTCTTGTGAATGCTAATATCTCATTTAGCTGTAGATATACTGTACTTGCTTTGAGTCTCAGGGAACTCCTACACATTGAGGGTCCACAATTCCAAATTTTATGCTCATGGTCATAACGAGTACTATGTGCAAATAGGGTGGTAAGAAATGACAGACATGTATATTTTCCACTGATGTGCACATTTATTTTTCATTGTTCCACCAGAACTCACTTACAAAACACAAGTTTGAAGACAAAAATATTATTATTATTATTATTATTTTGAGACAGAGTCTCACTATGCCACCCTCAGTAGGGTACTGGGGCATCGTAGCTCACAGCAATCTCTGACTGTTGGGCTTAAGCAATTCTCTTGCCTCAGCATCCCAAGTAGCTGGGACTACAGGTGCTGCCACAACACCTGGCTATTTTTGTTGTTGTTGCAGTTGTCATTGTTGTTTTAGCTGGCCTGGACTGGGTTCAAACCCACCAGCCTCTGTATATGTGGCTGGCACCCTACCCACTGAGCTAGAGACTAAATTATTTATAATTTCCACACAACAGCAATGGAAAATTAAGCCATGCACAAGATCCTTCTGATCACAGGTCAAAGGCCAATGAAACTAGTCCTGTTTAAGCAATTTAAACTCAAAGATTAGGAGCCTATTGAGTTAGTAATTGGGAATATGTGCAATGTTCTGTGTAAGTGTCTGTGGGGTCAGTGACTGGATATGTGTGGGTTTGATAATTTTGAGGACTATAGAGTCACTGATTGAAGTCTGAAGATTTTTCACTTGGATGTTTGGAGGGAGAATAGCTTGAAAGTCTGTGGTGCCTTTGTATCAGAATGTTTATTGCAGCCCAATTCATAATTGCCAGGTCATGGAAGAAGCCCAAGTGCCCATCGATCCACGAATGGATCAACAAACTGT